TTATTTCTGGTGTATTTATACGCACCCGTTACAGTTTGAGATACACGTATAACACTATAAATTATAATGCAAATTGTTTTTGTTTCGCTGATTGTTAGAATTCTAGTACTAAGTACATAAATCATTAATTATTGTTATTTATACCTATATGCACTCAGTTACTGCAGTACACGAAATTAACTATTTTTATAATAATAATTATTATCATTATCATCATCGATTATTATAACATAGCGTTAACATAAAACAGACGGTTGTAAATAATTATAGTAGGCCGTATGAGATGTTAAATTACTGTTTTTATTCCAGCAGCGATGTAATCGATAATCGCTGCTTTCTTGTCTCTGTTGTCCAACTCTTGGGCCTGTAGTATAGACACGAACACGCTGCGTACATCCGTACAAGACTGTTGTTCGTCAATCAACGCCGAATCTACGATTTCGGACACGATTCTATAAAAATTCGAACAATTCACAACGTGTTTGTTTGGATCGTACAATGTGTACGTTTGACTTTTCTAAAAGTTGTACTTGCTCGTATAAGGCATCTTCGCTGGCTACGAATTCCTTGTACGCCTTGGTCGGTATCAATTTCCAAAGCGGAARTCCGTAGAACGCTTCCTGCGACGCGCGGAACTGACTGGTCACGGAGTCTGCCAGCCGCGTAGCCGTTTCGTTAACTTCTCCGTCCAAAAATCCAAACCTCCTGCCCAAAATCAACGTACACGTGCCTACGATGGACAATATATAAGTCGTGGAAATCACATTTATTAAATAACCACTGCCACTATCACACATACTTTCCAATCCCATCCTGTTACAATACGCCTCGAATCCTGTGACCACGTTATTGCCGTCTCTCGCTTGGGAAATCAGGTCATTAAAATCGTCTGCTAGCTGGTTAACTTCTGGCGAGAAACGTCGTATTGTCCTGGGACTAGTGAGTTCCGGTGTCARTTTATTTCGTAACATCGCCCAGACTTCACCTTGTCTGCAACACGTGTAAGTACAGTGTACATACTTGTGATTAGTATATAATAATGTATAGTTGCGCTGGTAGTTACAGACTACAGATTATAATATTATATTTTAAATAAAATAAACAAGTAACTAAAATAATAAACAGCTCTGATGAACTTACATTTTTCGAAACGAGAATAAGTAATCGTGATTYAATTCATATTAATGTACTAAAATATTTATTAGTCCATATCAGTCATATAGTCGAATTTTCAATACGATTTTCAAATACAACTCATTTTCAAGAACTTTTTACAATCCTATTATGCGTAAATTTTAACTTCAAATCTGCGTTCTCGTGRAATTAAAATTAAGTACTTTGAATTCGAATATTGAATTCAATATTCGTAATATTTTATACACAAGTACGTACTCGTTAACAAGCCCTGTATTTGTGTAGCGATCTGGTCGGGACTTTCTGTAGTTTGCTGTTACTTCATTTGGTGGTCGGATAGGGTACTTTCCGTTTTGTCTAAGTACTTTTTCAATAAAATCTCTGTTTTTGACACTTATAACTGGTATGTTCCACAATGCTTCTTCGCAAATAATATCGCCATATCGAATAAACATGTCTGTGAAATTATTAAAAAACTTATTACTGATATAATCCRATTATAATGCAAATTAATGATGTATCACAATATTTATGAGCGTAAATATCAGGAGGTACTAGAAATATAGATTAACGAGTACTAACATAGTTAATAATACTTACCTATACGAGGAGGTTAAGTTGGGAAATATTTGCGAGTTTCGAGAGTTGTTTTTTTTTTAGGTTAAAACATCACAACCCCCCTCCTCCTTCCAAGTTACGCCTGTGTCTCTATTTACACACCAAATGTTAAGTAACTTTAGGTTTTTAATTAATGAATAATAATAAATCAAAACGATAGTTGAATTTCTATGTCTTGGGCCAAGGACTCTTGGCCTAAGAAGTAGGCTTTTACAGTACTTAATGTTTATYGAGTTTATTAAATATTCTTTGAAAATAATATATTAAATATGTTGGCGTATAAAATGGTTTTCTTGATATTAAAATTGTAAATCTTAATAACTAAAATACAAATTAAACTAAAGTTTGTTATGCATTTATTTTTGTATTGTTTTACAACTTAATACATAAGAATGTTTTTAACTTTTCTGCCCTATTCATAGTATAGAAAAACAAATTCTAAATGAGACTGATTTACCAAAATAATAGCCATTTAGTATTAGTAAATATTAGAAAAAAGTATTGAGAGCTCAACTATAGTATATAATCAATATAGCTTAACTATTAAAATAATATAACACAAAACAATTAGTCAAACATACATCTTACTTTAATAAAAGCTAAACAAAAAAATTATAGTCACATGAATTAAATTATTCTTGTTAATTAAGTTGGAAAAATGTGTATAACTGTTACTAATTTAAGCTTAAGAGGATGTCAGCGCACAATTTGTTTTCTCTCTCTGGCCCACATGCAACATAGACAAAACGCATTTACGCACCAGAATCACTGTTTTTCATATTTTTAGGTAATCTTATAGTAAAATCACCAATTACAAAAATCTAAAAAGCGGGTAAGTCGTGGATGTCACTCTTCTGTGCAGTAGGTTACAAGTGAGTTACTGTAATGGATGGAATTAAATTTGAATCCATTKATATTATATCATTGTATACGAAAAACGATTCTGAACAAGGACGGCTTATCTGTCTAGGATATAATATTATAGATTATTAAAAATTTTCAAATCTTAGCTTTAAAAAGTCGCTCAAATGTTTTGAAAATTTTGCCATATCTAGGTAAGACTAATATAAGTAAACAACCCAAATTTCAAGATTTTACGAATGTTTTTAACTGAATTACAAMAAAAAAACTCCCAAAATTAAAATGTCAATAAATAGCTTAAAAATGGATAACATTTTCCGAACATTAAACCGTAAGGTTAGAAACCGTAAGGAACAAGATCCGAAATACAAGAATAAATATCTCTTGTCATTTTTCATTTGAAGCAATATTTCTGGTATAAAACGTCATTCGTAAGTATTTAATATTATAAAATTGTGAAATCGTACGTTTTTTTCTCCTTCAACCGCTTTTATTTCGAGTACCGTTTCAAAAATCGAAAAATGACCTTTCTAAAGTCCCAGCTCAAGAATATTACCTTTCAGAAAAAATKTAACACTTTATACTTTTGAGCAAGTTTAGAGGGAAAGAAAAAGTTAACAGAATAAAAAAGGAATGACATATCGATATTATATTWTATTGTTATTTGATTTTGTATTCATCTTTCGAAGTAAACAAAAACATGTTGTACATTTAAATGATGTTTATATTCATTTTACACAATTTTTTGACAATTCAATATGCATTCCCTCAAAAATATTATTCTCTATCTTTTTTGTAACGTGTGGTTTTACCCTAAGATTACCAAAAAAAATAGTAATACGATTCTGCGGAAATGCGTTTTTTCTATGTTGTGCGTGAGCCAGAGAAAAAAATCCAATAGTGTGCTGACATYTTCTTAACTCCTTTTGATTATCCTGTGAAGTTGTATTAATTTAACTATAGAATCATTTCGTTTGATTACACAAATATTTAATCGAGAATATATTGTTGTATAGATAATATAGAATATAATAACTTGGAAATAGATGCTAAAACGATGTTGTATTGTACACCAATCGAAATTAAACTTGCTGCTTAATATTATACAGGTAAAAATTTTAAATTTAATTTCATCATCATGAATATTATAAATGTTAAATTTGTGTGGCTTTACTCAATGTACATATTTTACTAATTATTATATGCAGGTAATATTGTTTTCCCTTCAATAACGTGCGGAATGATGCGTAACTGTCCGTGATGGGTCCCAAATTAAATTCAAGATAGGTAATAATATGATAATATTATTTTGTCTATAGTATACTTTATTGTTATTGTATACCTTTGTATGCCAAGTGAACGGCATTCAGTTTATACAAACCGAATTTCCAATAGATCCATCTTGTTCCAAGTACAGGCAACGACCTTGGTCCTGGGATATCCGCAATAGTTTTGTATATTTTTCGTTGAGCATCTGAAACAACCATTATTTATATCAATGACTCGAACAGTAAACATTGGCCTTGAACAAAATTATCTTGCTCAATCCAAAAACCAAAAGTCTATTATATTAAATTTAAACTGGATATATTGCAATAATGCAATAACCTATACGTCTGATTTTAAAACACTATTATCGCATCTCAAATTAAATTTAACACTTATAAGTTATAACCATATTAACTATAAGTCTGTATAAGTCTCATTAGTTTTGCAGTTTTGCTATAAACTGCAATACCTAATCATACTTAATTCTGTATATAGAATAAAGAGGAAGCCGAGGCTAGTTGTCACAACATTATTATCTCTGAAACTTGACGGTGATTTTGTACTATGGGCTGATGATGATAGTTGTACAATGAATTTTAATTTTTAAGACAAAAAAAAAGCAATTTTTAAGTCTGAGAGTAATTTTTTAACGTGAATACATATTTTAATATTTGCAGCCATTTATATACCTAGGTACTATAGCTAAAATTAATGCTGTAATTATTAACCTGAAAAATAATTAGAGTATACTTAACGTGTTTTTTTCGTTTGTATTGAAAAGTAATATAATTTATAAACTTGATTTGCCATCAAATAGGGGATTGAGATTTGCTGTCACAAAGTATAAGTTTTGTTACCACATCATGTGCTTATAACGTTACAACTTATATAGTTCATACTAAATATATGTCTAAATTTATAACATTAAATTAACTTGTTTTTTATTTATGGATTTAATTTTTTTGTATCGAACTGTTATTTGACACTAAGTTAACACTGACAACTAAGAGTTTAATTTCAATGTGGTTTATCATTTGATTCACCTGGGACAGCAAACCTCATGATCGCGATGATATAATAACCACGACCCAGAAGCGTGGTAGATGAGTGTCACAATTTTTTTTTTTTTTTATAAAATTTAAAACTTAATATCAATGTTTGGTTATTTAGTATATTCCAAGGATCATGATATGTTGAATAATGTAACAAACAACACTAGAATAAAATAACAWGTATCTTTAAAAAAATAAATAAATACCTAGTTAAAACTGTGGCAACTAGTCCTGGTTCTCCTACATATCTAATATTTGTTGAAGTTCAGAATGGTTAGTATAAGAACAATAGTTACAACAAAAATACAATATGCTTGCGCTAAAGAAATATTAGAACTACACAATATACTGTTTGTATTACAGAAGTAAAAAAATTTGATGTTCGCTTCGCTCGCATATAAAACAAAATTATATTAATATATAATAGTATTATATTATACGTCATAATGTACACGTATTTTATGACCGTAGTTTTAATCTTTTGACAATCATAGATAAATATTTATTATCAATGATTTAATCATAATTTCCAATAAATTCAGGAAACAAAATGTCAAATGGTACCTATGTTACAAGTTCGTAGACATAATATAAAATTAATTATTGAAAATTCAAATCATAATATTTTTTATGAACTGCACAACATTTAAATAAGAACTGCACATTTTATGCACAACTGCACATTAGCGCAAGCTCTGACAATATTTAAGACTTTTACTAAAGTTTTAATAATTTGGCTATAAAAATATATTCCTTTATACAGTAATAATATGACAATTTATAAATACGAGATTTAATAAATTAGTGACAAAATCATGAAACATTTTGTAGTATTATTAACTATAATCTCATACATATAATCATCGTGTATAGGTACTTATGTTCCACGTTAGTTTTGTAGACATAGACAATTAAATCATAACAACCAAAAATTATTTTCTAATAGTGATGTTTGTTTGATTATTAAATTATATTATTAACATTTTTATAGAATTGGATATTAATTTAAAGCTATACTATATATTATTTGATGAAATGTAATATTAATACCACAGTTTGACAACATTTTTAATTCAATTTATAAGAAGTTTTTGATGGATATTAGTTTTATCTAGTGAATTAATATTATTTTAATAATAATATAAAAATATAATGGTTTATAAGCTATTCTTAAATATAAATGTAGATTCTGTGCTCGTCCCCTTCGCTCTGCCGTAGAATACCTGCAGGATTAAAGAACCATTGCAAACCGTGTATGCCTATACCTTATGACTAGCATGTTCACCCTCATTTTATTTATTCCTCTTAAATAATTAAGTTATTTMAATTCTTGAATTCTTTTATGCTACTTAAGGAATTTCCAGTAACTTCTGTTTTTCCTTTGAGATCCCCCATCCTTTTTACTGTAAATTATTTAATGGATATTATTTTTGAAAATGTTTATGTACTTATATCAAAATTTGAATGAGAAGTTTCTTAGTTATTAAAATGTTTGTACTAAGGATAATAGTTGTTAAAAATGGTTTAAGAAAAAATATAATATAGACGTAATATTAGAACTAGTATTTATTATACAGAGTCATTTTTACAAATTATTAATATTGATACATTAATGTTAATGACTAATATTTTATTTTTATGGGGGTGAATTTGTTATGATATAAAGTTGTGCTGTTGTAGTATATTTGGCAGCACAAAAKTGTCAAAAGCTTTATTGGCGGAAAAAAGGCCAACAAATTCTGGGAATAATCCAACAATGTCCAACAAATTTGTTGGATGTGTTTCATATATGTTTGTCATAGTTGTGCTGCTAACCTTAGAAGGGTATATATTTAAGATATTGAATAAACTTGGAAAGAAATATTTTCAKGTTATTTGTTTGGCAACTTTGTTATAAAATATAAATCATTACAAAAGTAGAGATGAAAAAAATGTTTAATTGAACAATAATTAATATAAACGTTAATTTTTAGGAATCATAATAATTATCCTTTAAGAGGACGCTATACACACAACATGCATGTGTTGTCTTTTTCATACAAACATACAACATAGGTAGCAAAAACTTATTTTTATGGGACAACTTTGCTCCTTCTGTATTTATTGCAGAATTACCAACATTTCAATATTGTCGAAGTATTTTTATTTTTTTGATAGTACCAACCAATAATTTAAAATTATTAATTTGAAAAAAAATCTTATTTTCTTAAACTGATTACTTAAACTGTATTTATATTATCCAAATAATAGAAATGCTACGGCACACATAATTTACACCCCTGTGCGTTATGGAGTTTTAGTAATCCTGCAATAAATCTAGAGGGAGTAAAGTTGTCCCGCAYAAAAAAAGTTTTTAGTATGTTGGATGTTTCTAATAACGGAGACAAGACATGCGGGTGTAGCATCCTCTCAAAAATTAATTATTCCTTCTTTAAGTGACATGATAAATAATTTAACTTTAATAAATACTAAATCTCGTAAAACAGATTTAATTAGATCAAAATGATGAACCGGTTTTGTACTTAAAGATCAATAATTTTTTAATGAAGTTGATTGTTTTTATTTAGAACTAACCTTATTTAAATATTATGCTGTAATTGAATACCATTATAATGATTTCAAAAAATAAAAWATTCTACTTTATATTGTAATAATTTTAGTAATAAATTATGTTTTACCAAACATTAAAATGACTTATGACTTATTATTATGACTTCAGAAAAACAGTTTAAATTATTTCACGGTTTTGGACATGACTTAGGTACATTAATGTTTATAAACAATGTTATTGGAATCGGCTACAATATTGGAATGTTTTCAATGTCAAGAACCATCGAAAAAATGTTCGTGAACAAACAATAAACAAGGAAATCTTTTTTGATAGTATCTATTAAGTTCTAAAAAAACATATTTTTAACCGTTTATTATTTGTTGACAACAATGTAAGAAAATATTAAAAACTTACATAAGCCGTAAAACTTTAGTTACAAATTACAAAATAATGTYATTACAATTTACAAATCCATACAAGCCAATCTCAGATTAAAACGTAAATTACAATATTTTTAAATAATTAAATTATCAAAAAATATACTTATTTTTTATGTGAACATTTATAATTAAGACTTAACCAGTTGCGTCTACGCGCAGCATAACAGTAGGTAGATTCTATTTTACAGCGTACACTTATATGGTTATATTTATAATTTTAGTTTACTTGGGTTTGTAAGGTAAGTCTTAATATTTAAAAATAAATATGAATTACGAACAGATGGTTCTCATGAGAAATTCGATTATATTTGAAACTGATTAGACTTACCGGACGAATATCCGAAGATCGAATAAGTGCCGATGATGTATTTCGACACGAGTTTTACAAGGGCCGTGATGAATGCGATCACTGTGAAAAAGGCACCTTCGATTTTGTTCCAATATTTTTCCTGTAGCACCATACCTRTAAAAAAAATAACACTAATTTAAGCGGGTTTAGTGCGACACGTGAATTCTTATAATACTGTATGTACCAACTGTGAGTTCAATAATACGTTAACAATTGCGAATAAGATTGAAACCTGCATAAAAAAAAGAATCAAGAACATTCGTCAGGTACGCAATTATAAAGATCAGTCAGTACGAAATAATGATAAGAACGAGAATATAATTTACATACCTAATTCGCTTCGTTTATATAAATCTATAATAATAATAATAATTATAATAATGATATTATTTGGATATGTACACACATATATATATATATATAATATAGATATACTATTATTATTTATTATTAATATGTTTATGTGTTTTAATTAATGCATTAAACGAATATATTTTTATCAAACGTGTTATGATAATATTATACGTTATTCTAGTAATGTACTAATGTATAAAATAAGAACCTATTTTAAACAAAACTAAAACCCCATTTTTATAAATCAATTTAGTACTAAATAAATCTAAAATGATTTTCCGTTAAATATTTTTTCTGTCAGAGTAAAATTATTATTATTATTTTATTATTTTAATCAATTACAGTATGTATTTTAATATAGATGATGGCTACCTACATTATATAGTAACTACACAACGCATTGATGCACGGAAAAAATATGTTCACGCATTCTTGTTGGTTAGTAGCTACACACAACAATATATTATTACTTCACGAAGACATTAAATTTGAAACAAATACCACATTTATATGAATGTTGTCATAACTATACCTATGCTACTTAACATTTTTTATTATAAATTAACKAGACGAGTGGCGTATTACTCCAGCTATTTAATAATAACATTTGAATTAGTGTGTTTATCAGGGTTTTAACTTTTAATACAAGTCTCTCGTTTTTATATCCACATCATTAAACTGTCTTAACGCATTAKAACAATGCAGTTTTCTGTGGGTTGCCGGATGAGTGTCATGTATAGCTGAATATCTTCATCTTGTGTAGGTAATGTGATACCATCCAACATTTTGTTACCTAAGTGTTATAAATACGTAACACAAAATGACATGGTATAGAGTGAATCCGGCTTCAGAGTTTTCATGTAATTTATTGAAATATGGTAGGTATCTAAGAAGTGTTTATAAAAATACGTATCGAAAAATTCCACTTGAATTGTATCAATTCAATTTAAATTCCATCAGTATACAAGTGATGCTATAATATCAGTTATGTTATCATACTTAATATAACATACTATATATTCATATATCATACTGTATATACTTATGTTAATTAATTAATTATTACTTGAGCCTACCATGCGTTAATTCAATAAAAAATATAAATAAAAACAATCTGGTTACTAGAATAGGTGTACTTAGTATGTTTACTAAGTATGTTTTCCCAATGAAATGAGACTAACGGAATCAACGAAATGCAAAATATATACTGCTACAAAATGTGGAACTAGTCGATAAAATATGTACCAAGGTGCTTAGGGGTAAATAAAATAAACAAAATAGTGTTTATTTTAATATTATACTAAGATTTATATAAATCAGTTAAATTGATTAATGGTTAAAACACTTAAAACTGAACATAATATTTTATTATTATATTATACTATATTATTATAAATATTGAACTCATWATTGTTATATTTAACTGTAAATAGCGGACCTATTTTCTCTGAAATATTTTCTATATAATAATGTTATACATTTAGGTATAATTTTAAAGTTAATATTTTAAATATTTTATAAAAATGTCAGTTTTTACATAACAATTATAATATTATATGCTAGTGGCTAGTCTAATATTATATATGAAATATATCGTGTCAGCTATACCTGCCTAGTACCTACATATATTATAATTTTATGGGCTTCTAAATATGTCAGTTATTTATATATATATATATAAAGTTAATGGAATGCATTGGTAACAAACTTATGGTTSTGGCATTTTAGTACTATACGAGTATAACCATAATTTTCAACATTGTTAAATTTCTTTTCTCTCTTGTTCAAATTTAAGTTTTTTCATCATGCTTTGGTGCGAGAGAAAACCTAATGTTTCCCTCTCACTACCTCCCTCCATTATGTTAGCCTAGAAGTGATAGCCAAATTACTAAATCCATATGTATTGTATCATACAAGATGTAAGATGATATAAATAATCCTTTCATGCTTATAAAAATAATGATATGTTTAGACAATGCGAGCGGGGGGATTTTAATATTTCGTGAAATTATATCGAAAAACACTGTCACTAGTTTAAAAATAAATTACTTAATTCTCCTCATGTATTTATTCCAAAATGACTTGTATTTTAGGGGAACTATGTAAGAAATCGATTTTCACCTTCCCCCTTTAAAGCCTTGTCCTATTGAAATTATACATGGTCAGAAATTAATAATGCAGTCATTTTTAGATAAATTTATATATTTTATTAATTTCTGTAATAATAGCGTACTTCTGCACCCGTCTACTTGTATCACTATATTTTTTTTTCTAAGCTTTTATGCCATACCTAACTTCATTCAATATTTTGAAGCGTTCTAAGATATGAGACAAAATCTCTTATGATGATGTGGTTTGGGTAGTTTGGCTTTGTTAAATAATTGTATAGAAATATAAATCACAATTGGAGACGTATTTTAAAGGTTCACTGAAGTGAAAAATGCATGCTGGTCTAATTTTKTAGATAAAAATTATTTTTAAAATAAACAGTTAATAAAAATATTGTTTTTCTCGTATGTGAGAACACGCAAATATGTATATATTTAAAAAAAAACCTTAGGAATAGTTCCTGCTGAAAAACGTATCTCCTCCCATGCGATAATGGTACATCATCAGCTTTAAAATTAATCGACTGAAGCCGTCGTGCTCGTCATCGCGCCGTAGAACTATGACAAGACTATACGGTAACAAAATGCGACGACCACGATGGTGCGGTAGCTGTCTGCCGTCGCCCGTCACAACCATCAGAATTAAAACAAATTTACTATAGCCAGTCGTTAAGCGTCAATTAAACGGGTTGTACGTGAGATTATGTGACATAACGCGTAATCGTTCGTAGACATAACAATATTATTAACATCGTTCGTTATCACGCCTTAGAGCTGCCGTTGTCGTGCGTGCGCGAGCTTAAATACAAAATATTTGGTGATTATACACGTGCGTTTTTTTTTTTTATTATTTTACATCTAAAACACGTATTTACAATACATTTGGGTTAATAAAAAAAAAAAAAAAAAAATAATAAATAAAAT